ACAAACCATCAGGAAGGGATCCTCGGCGCCCTCTGGTGGGCAAGCCTCTGGATCCCAACAGATCCAGCTTTCATATTATGTACTCTGACCTATTGTGGTTTTTAACACTCTCTCTCATTTTTCCTGGGTCTAATTCTGGTCTCTGAACTTGACTCCGAACATGTTTCTGATGTTGCACTGACTCTGACTCAGGTACTGATTTTGTTTGACTACAGAATGGAGACACAGCTCTGCACATCGCTGCATCTCTGAACCACAGTAAAGCAGTTCAACTTTTACTGTCAGCCGGTCTTGATGTAACAGTCCGGAACAAAGTAAGTACCTACCTGCTCTGAGCAATCCAGAGAAATTTATATCAGAATCTGCAAGCTGTTGTGTTTTTTGACTGACATGTTTCCTCCTTAAGGCAGGAAAAACAGCTCTGGACAAAGCCAGAGAAAACCAGAACAAAAATGTGGTTCTCCTGCTCTCCAAAACTCCTCAGGTTTAGTAACTTGGCAATAAAGCAAATTTGTCAATCCATTTCAGTTTTCTCCTTGAGCAAACAAAAATCTGACTATAGGAAATGTTCCTGTCTTCAGGTACGTTATATGAGGAGAAAGACGATGAAGAGACCCAGACTAAGAGTTCCTACAGGACCTGCTAAAGTAAGAATCCAGAAAGTTGGAGAGCAGCAGCAGATATAGTAGATAAGCTTCAGTTTGTATTCTGGTTTACTGTGTCCAGGACAGCAGCTGTGGGATGGAGCAAACTGATCCCAGATCAGATGGTAAGGTGAGTCATGATGTGAACTAGGTTCAATCAGAGGGCGGACCTTAGTCTACAAAGTGAACGCTAATGAAATTAGAGTCACATGACTTGGACGATTCAGAATGGAGCCAAAATATTTAAAACATACTTAAGTCAGACTGGAACCATTTGACCTGGATTCAACTCACACTGGAGTTACTGTAGATGACTTGGACTTAAACCAGATTGGACTATTATCAACTAAGCATTTACTTAAAGGTCACTGTATCCTACTTTCTTGAATTTTTACAGGTCCCCTAATAAGGATAAAAACCAGTGACCAATACCTCGTCAATGGATGAGTCTTTTTACATGCATGAACAGAAATGTTGCTTTTTGTGAGAATATTTTCAAAAATACCTAGTCCAAAGTAAAACAATATGATAAGACATTTTTTACAAAGACGAAATATTTTTGAAAAAAACTAAAGCTACATAAATAACCAGTGACTCTCTATAAATAACAAAATTAAAATGTAACCAAGGGCAAAAACATGATAAATACAATGTTGTCAATTTTCAAGTTAATTTCTACCTCCTTGGTTAGCCAAATGATAACAACTGTTAAGATGCCTTAATTATCTTTTGAAATAAATATTATTGCATAATTTACCTGTTAACACACTACAAAATCTCAGTTTAAGATCTAAGACTGGGCTCAAAACTTGCACATTTTGATTCTAGTCTAGACTGTGGTCTTTTATGCTTTTAATTGACTCTAAGCTGTTAGATAAAACCAATTTATTAAAATTCTGAACATCAGCGTGCCTTCTAACCCTAACTACTGCATATCCCTGAGAATGGTGAGTAACAAAATCAATGAGTCAATGCAATCAGCTGGTTTTCCTTAGATAGAAAACTTTGAATCAATTTGATTGTATGATCTGATTGAACTGTAAAGTGCCTTGAGATGACATGTGTTGTGAATTGGCGCTATATAAATAAACTGAATTGAACTGAATTGAATCGATACTTTGACATCACACAGGATTTGGATAAAGAAGACTTTCGTTCAGCAAGGAAACACAACCAATTGCAGGAAGATGAGTTCTGGGGCTGTGGAGAAACCTTCCAACTTTACACTCTGTACAGAGACAGGGAAGGTAGAATTCAACAGGTTGGTTCATTCTCATTTATCCTGAAAAGTTTGAAAACACATATTATCCTCAGCAGAAGATTCTGTAGATATCTGTTTCTTCTAAGACTCCTGCAAGCAGCTGCCTCTGTAAGTCTCTCTTGAAGAAGCTGGGGGATAATCTGAAGACCACAGAGGAGGAGCTAAGGTTGCAGATCCAGAAAGTCAAGGAGGAGCTTCAAAGACAGATGGAAAGGGTGGAGCGACATAACAAACACCAGGTCAGCCTCTGAGCTTCAGATCATCTATCAGATTGATCAAGATCCATGTCTGAAGAAATGATTGCAGGTATGGTAAATATCCATCCTCATTGTTTATTTGAATAGCTAAGGGTGTTGGACATGTTGATCCAGGACAAAGCAGCATCTGAAAGGAGGAGCATGATATGCAGGATGGATCAGAGAGCAGCAGAGGAGCGAGCAGAAGCTCTGAGGAACCAGGTAAAATCACTGAGTCCATCACCTAACCTGTTGGACGTGATGGTGTTAAGCAGCTCTTTGCTCCATCTACAGGCTGTTCTGAGAAATGAGCTGAAGACCTGGTGTCTGTCTCTGCTGGAGTACATGAACATCCCAGTGCCAGCTGAGATCCAGTACCAGAACCTGCTGCTGCCGCCTCCATCTGCTGCAGAAACTGACCTGGAGTCAGTGCCTCTGCTGTTTTCTGAAGACAGCAGCCCCACAGTGTCCAGAAGCAACTTCAGACCCAGATGTTCTGATATTTCAAAATCAGCTGAGCAGATTGGGAACAGGACCTACTTCGAGATGAAGAAGGACAAGTGTGTGGGTACGTAAGGATAAACAGCAGAAAATAAAACGTTTTCAATAGTTTTCTGAAAAAATATCTGAGTTGAAAAAACTTTTCCTTAGCAGCAGATCAGAACCTAAACTCAGAAACCTCAGCTGACCTCCCCACAGTCTCTGCTGCCCCCTTCTGCAACTCTACAGCACTGCATGACAATACTGACTCATTTTTCAATGAGAAACCTTCCAGTGGCCATTCAAGGACCAACCCCCAGGAAGAGGCCTCCAGGCCCACCGATGACACAATGGTTCAGGAGTTCCTGATGGAGCGACCTGCAGAGCCCACTTTGATCCAGGAGAGGAAACAGATCCACGCCATGGAGGTTAGGCTCCTCACTGTGGCTCAGTCATCTGGGACTCTTTAGTCCTTAGAACATTAAGTTGGAGGAAAGGCATTCACTTTTATTATTATCACTGGATGCTTTGTTAAACCAGCTTTAAGAGCAGCTGCATGCATGTAACTACCAGTTTATACCATCTAAAAACCTGAATTACTTGCTATTTTCACTGTTCATTGTAGCTCAAGCTCAGTCAAAATATATTAGACATTCATTTGTTAATATAAGCTTCAAGTCCTGCCACAGATTCTCAATTAAAACGTAATATGCATTTTGACTGAGACATTGTTCTAATACATAAATTTGGTTTAAATCCACATATTTGTGGTTAGTGCAGTGGTTCTTATTTCTGTTCACGATGCCCCATTGTCCTGCAAATTTCTGCTGTTCTCCTGCAGGCACAAAATGTAATTAAATAAACTGGTCATTAACGAGTTTCAACAGCAGTTGATGACATGCTGAGGAAATAATATAATTGTCTAATCCATCTGTGTTGGAGCAGAGCCATATCTAAAACATGAAAAATGATGGGCCTTCAGAACCAGGATTGGGAACCATTGAAGCTCCTGCTTTTTTTTTTTTTTTTTTTTAACAGTTTGTCCTGTGTTGTCCTGCTGGAAATTGACAAAACCATTAACTCCTTCCATCTTCCTGACATCACTTATCAGCTTAATTTTCTTTGCATAAGAAAAGCATCACCACAGCATTATGCTGCCAGTGTAATTTTCCCAAAATACATCGAATTTTGGTCAGTTTCGGTTGGTAAACATGTCTTCATAGGTATGGCCAGGGCTTAGGAAAAAGATTGACATAACTTTCCTACTTTAAAATGCATTGTTTAGATAGTTTTGCTTAACTTAGAAAAACACATTCTAGAATGCAAAATAATATAATATAGAGCCAGATGTTCCAGGACTATAAAAACGTTTGCCAGACTCTCTGCCACTTAATGAAGCTGTGGTCTAACTGCAGGTGACTCGGCGGTTCTTTGATGCTGTCACAGCTCAGCTGGAACTCTGGTGTTCCAGGAAGATCATGGAGGTGGAGTGGCAGTCAGAGCTCAGGTCCCGGGAGGAGAGGACAGAGATGCTGCAGCGAATCACAGAGCTGGAGGAGGAGCTTCATAGGCTGCAGACCAATGAAGAGAAAGAGGACCTTCTAAAATAGAAGAAACCACCTTGAGAACTGAAGCTTGCTGATGCAGACGGTCGGTTACAGGTTTAAAATAAGCAGTTGACTTTAAGTTTTTGTTTTTTGGACATCTTTATGTTCTGTTGGATTTTATTGTCAGAAAAATTAGTTCCTGATTAAAAGCTGATCGTTATAGATGTTACTGGACCTATCTATGAAGTTGAAACAAACATTTCAACTTCATAGAATATTTTATCCTTTTCCTAACTTAAAGTTCTTATAAATGACTTTTTTTGCATCACACTTTTTTGTGATTCTGCAGTTTTTGGTTCTGTTTAAGTTTTCTTTTTGAGTTTTCAGTTACACTTTGATTCATGTCTTTCTGTGTTTTCTAGGTCACTGGTTTAATTTCCATTTTTTGTCATTCTAGTTGTTTTCTGGTTTTATTTGTGTTATGTATTTATTGTATACTCTCTGTTGCCTTCTTGTGCCAGTCTCATTTCCCCTGGCTCCCTTCTAGCTCCTTCTGTCAACACCTGCTCCCAATCATTTGACTACTCGACTCTTTGTTCTGTTTGTCATTTATACTCCTCCTTTGCAGTTACTCAGTGCTGGATTATCTTCATTAAACAGTCCCTCCTTGACCTTTGTTCTAATCCTTTGTTCTGATTCCTGTGTTCTGTAATGAGTTATGTTAGGATTTGTGCTTCAGTTGCACCATTGGTTATACAATCTGCAAGAAACCACTTTGGCTTCCGTCCCTGCATTTGGGTCCTCTACTTGACCACATGACCTGATACATTTAATCTCATCCACTTTTTCACCTGTGAGTAGAAATGTTGCAAATTGTTCCAGTCTTGCTGTTGATGTCATTTTTCAGATTTCAGGAACTCTAAGTGTTCATCTGTTTAAAAATATGAATGTTTCATTGTGTTATAATTTTTTTTAATAGTAGCTTGAGCCAACAGCTGAATGTTTGATGATAAATGCTCTCCATGCTGTGATGTTTAATGATTATGGATATAGGGATTTGATGTTAAAGTGTATTTCAAGCCACCTTCAGATTTTGAATCTTCCGATTTCATCAATTCATCCTGACAATTATTGTGCCATTCTAATATGTTACAGAAAATATATTTCATTTTTTATTTTGTTTTGTTTTTCCTGGACCAAAACTCATCCGTGGCTGGGTTACTATTTTATTCTGTGAAGACAACACTATCTGAATCAAGGGTTGGTGAGTCAGGAAGACATTTTCATGTGTGCACCCTGCTGTACAAATAAAACAATGTGGCCAGAGTAACAATGGATGTCATGTTCAATTCCATCCATCCATCTTCTTCCACTTATCCTTCAGGGTCACTGTGGCGCTTTTGCCTACCTCCAGAAGTCTATGGTCGCCTGGACAGGTCACCAGTCTATCACAGGGCTAAACAGAGATATCTTGATGTCATCTTATTTGTCTACAGACTTAAGTTAATAAAATAAAGTATTCATGGTGCCCATCCAACAGTATTTATAGAAGAAAGGTTAACTTGGACTGAGAATTCACAACTCTGTGTCTGAAATTTCCAAGCGGCATTAAACATAACATTCTATATGGATCAAAAGAGACAAACACGTTTTACAGAAAAAAATGACAGTTAATTTTTTTTAAATAAATGCACATCTCATTTTCTCAATTTAACATCTTTAATAGAATTGTAAGAATAGCAGAAAATGTCCCAGACTTTATTGGAAACCAAATATGAAAGCTTCAAGGATGAGTCACAGTGTATGATCCAAATGTATTTTCCTCAGGGGTGTAAGTTATAGGGGTGGGGTTTGCGTATAGTGGGCGGGTCTCTGGTTGTGTAACCCAATGATCCTGGTGTGACATCTAGCGTCGGGCCTCAGCGACCACATTGCAGCTTCTGGAGGGAAAATCAAGTCAATGCTCCATCGACTATGGGGGGCAGCGGGCGATGGAAATCTAATTATAGGGCCTCAAGGCACAGCTGGTTGTATCATGCAGACCAAGCTGAAACATGTGGCTGTACAGTGATGGAGGGCTCATCACACAGCGGGATGCAAGGTTCAATCTGAGCTCATCATGGGATTTCAGGAGCATGTTGATCATCGTTACGGTTGGCTGGAGTGGAGAAGCCATCATTAATCATTGTCTGTCCAAGTGTTTAATGCAGTGTCACTTGAAACCCTTTAAATTGTCTCTTATTTTGCAATTAATCTCTATTCATGATGAAAACACATTAAGGCTATGTTTATCCTAGTTCAGATCACCTTTTTAGGTCCTAATTCTCCACAAAATGTTTATTCAATGCCCAGTTAATCTCCCTTGCAGATAGAATCTAACCTGCTTAGGCTGATCATTGTGTAAACATTTCTTCTAAGAAGATGCAATTAATTAATCTCTCAGATTTTAATTAAATGCAGACCATTTACATCTCACCATTCAACTCATTCAAATGGGAGGTGAGTTCCTTATCTATACTTGGTAGAGTTAAAGGTAAGTGCTAAACTGTAATTAAACTCCAAGTGGTTGAAGTTAGTGTCCCCCTCAGCTTGTTTATTAGACTCTGATCATAGATATGTGAGTGAAAAATATCCCTTTTAGTCTCCAAGGCCTGTATTGATAGGCCGGATTGGAGTTGGCACTCCTGGCATGGGAGCAAAGAGCGGGGTGGGGGCAGTGTCCCGGCAGGAGCTGATCAATGCTCACATCCTGTGAACCTTGCATGAAACACAGCAGAGCGTTCCCAACACACAGACAGGCAGATGCACGGCAGAGAGAACGGCATCACCACACAGGATTAACGTCGAGGGACAACCAGGCAGCCCCATGGGGTAGAAGCATCCCCAATAAGTGTTCTCCTTGGAATTACCAATTGAATCCTCCACACATGAAGGCCCAGAAGGACCGAGGAACTGTGAGATGTAAGCTGGTGTTTGCATGTTTGTGTCATTGTGATGTAAGCATGTTATTAGATCATTTAACGAGTAGAGAAACTGTAACAAAGTGCACTTTAAAGATCAGATTCCTGACTTTTTTTCTGCATTTTTTTATGTTTTCCTCCAAAAAATGCAACATCCTAGTTCAACCATCGCCCTGGTGTCATCCAGTGTCCAAACAAAGTTCATACTACAGTAGCCCCGAGGGCAAAAGCAAAGCAATGGAGCAATTCCTAAAATCCTTTTTGTACAAACAAACCAGAGACAGACAACAAACCTCAAAACCTATAAGCCTTAAACTTGAAAACAAAGAAATAGACATATAGAGTTTAGAAAAGGCATCCTCTGTCTGTGAACCTGTTGTTTTTTTCAGAATGTATTTTTAGGTTCTTGCTATGTTTTTTTTTTTTTTTACTTTTTTATTGTTTTCCTTTTTCTTTTTATCTATGAATTAAGATGCAGCTCTTATTTTCACCTCTTAAAATTATAACTTCTTTAAAGACAAGGCAAACCCGATTTGCCGGGAGAAACTTGCCCTTGTTGCTGTAAACCAAAGTTAATGGTTAAAGTTGAAGTTTTCCATCTTTTCTTTGCTAATGAGGAGCTTCTGTGCACTGATGTTACTCTCCAGAACTTGAATTAGATTAGACCCTACGATATCATGGTTTAAGGTGAGCAGCAGAAGATTATATAATGTCCAGCTTGACAGCAGCACAAAGCTCAACAAGGAATCTCGATCCCCAAGCTTTAGTGCTCCGTTGATTTCTTTTCCCTCACTGGAAATGTACTTGGACAGTTTTACCTTAGCCTTATCTCTAAACCTCATTTTGCTCCTGGATCTGAGCTAACCTCAGACTGACAACCAAAGGTATTTGGTACAGTAGATACCAGCTGATCCAACTCCTGTATGTCTGCATGCAAATTTGAAGCTGTTATGGATCATACCAAAAATAGTGGTGTCATGCATAATTCAGTAAATTAGAATAGAATAGAACAGAGGAGAAGAGAAAAGAATAGAATAGAATAGAATAGAATAGAATAGAATAGAATAGAATAGAATAGAATAGAATAGAATAGAATAGAATAAAATAGAAAATCCCTTTATTGTCCCACAATGGGGAAATTCTGGTGTTACAGTAGCAAAAAGATTATTTAAAAAAATTGTCACACAAATGAGAACCTTATACAAGTGTATAAGAATAACATAATAGTGAAGAGCTAAAAAATAAATAAATAAATAAAACACTGTACTGTGCAGGCAGCTCTGCAGAAGGGAAGTGTTTTGTCTTCAGAGGGGAGTTTGAAAGGAACTTTATTGTTGCCATTAAGGAAGCCGGTGATTCGCAGACAGGTGGAGGCCGGCAGTGTGAGGAGGGTCAGCATCAGGTTGAAGGTCTCTTGGTTGGTTTAAAAGCCAAGCAGAAGTTCAAACACAGGATCCAGGAAGTTTAGTTCATAGCTGACTATATATATATACGGTATATAAACCTGTTTGTCAGGTAAGCAAACTGTATAGGTGCAGAAGTAGGGCTGTGATGCTCTTTAGCTGATTCAACAAAAATCACTCAAAGGATTTCAGGAACACAGATGTAAGAGCAACAGGCTTGTAGTAATTTATTCCTGTCACCGTTTGTTCCTGGGGATTACAGTGGAGAGAATGAAGCACAAGAGATCCCAACAGAGCTCCAGAGATGTGTTGAAGATCTGAAGATATTAGCCAGTTTAAGTTCTTAAGTATCATCAAGTCTTGAAGCTTTCCTGTCCTTCTGATGCTGAAAGAGCCTGTCAACATCTTCTTCTGAGATTTGAAATGATAGGTCTGAGGGGAGGTTGCTGCATGTGGGTTTTGGTATTCAAATGAGAAGCAAACAAGTTTACTGCAATCTAGAAACAAGTACAAATTGCTAAAATTAATTGAGGTTGTGCCAATGGAATGAGTAGTTTTACTCTTACAATAATATAATTACCGTAGATAATACATGCTTTAAATAAGCAACTGCAATGTTTTTTTCTTATTTTAAATTTAAATTGTCTTGTTCCATTGGCAAAGTGTCTCACTTGCCTCCACAATTCAAAGAAAAATGTACTTATTTTAAGGGGGGAAAAATACCTATTTAGATTACATTTTTTCACAGAGTTGGTGTGGAATGATTAGCTGATTTTTTAAAACTATTTAAACTATTGAAGCTTTTTAGTCGGTCTGGATTCTGTACTAGGTGATACAAACTCATGCTGCGTCATCAATTAAGAAGATGTTTTTGTTGCCTCTTGCTTTAGTTTCTTCAGCTGCTTCTTGGTTAGTTTTTTTTTTTTTTTTTCACCTGACTTCCCATTGATGTTCTTACAAAACTGATTAAAGAAGTAAGAGTTTCAGCAAGCTCATTCAGGTCAGTTTTTTCATTTTTTAGAATTCAATCTGTGTTGTCAAATTAGCCTTGTAATATCTGGGTTAGAGGTTTTAAATATGTGTCGACAGTTTGCAGAAATTACAAAACCAACTGTAGAGACAGTGAGATGGGCCCCTTTTAAAGCTATGTAACACAATATACAAATTTGCATCCCCAGATGTAAAAGATCTGGGGATGCAAATCTCTACATTCAAACTGTGTTACAATTAAAAAGTATTTTGCAGCAATTGTTTTAATGAAAAATGTCACATTTTATGAGGTCAAGGAAAATCAACTTGTTCTAGGAATGTTTTAAAAGCCTTGCAAAAGTATCCATACTTTCAGAACATATTTTACATTTTGTCTTTTTACAACTACATTTTGTCATATAGGGGCTGCAAAGTGGTGCAGTAGGTAGCGCTGTTGCCTTGCAGCAAGAAGGTTCCGAGTTCCATTCCTGGCACGAGGTCTTTCTGGAGTTTGCATGTACTCCCTGTGCATGTGTGGGTTCTCTCCGGGTACTCCGGATTCGTTCCACGGTCCAAATAAAAAACTGTTAGTTTAATTGTGTCTGTGAATGGTTGTGTGTCTTTGTGTGTCTCTGTGTTGCCCTTCGACAGACTGGCCACCTGTCCAGGGTTTATCGCCCATAAACTAGCCTACCGGAGATATGCACCAGCCCCACCGTGACCCTGATAAGGACTAAGAGTGAGAAGATGGATGGATGGATGTTGTTGTATGTTGTTGGAATTTTAATGATTAACCCTTTATAGGGCAAGTTACCGTTTTGATCACTTGCAAATGGAGTTACCCCCGTCCCTCAGTGAGGTCTAGAAGCACAAGATCTATATCCAGCCATACAGCAAAGATACTGCTATATGGCTGTTCATCTTATTTTGGCGTTTGAACAATTAGATGTGTCCTTGAATGATATATTACCTACCGGAAATTAAGTTGAAAAAAAGGTAAAAAGCTAATTCAAAAATTTGAAAGTAAAGTTAAAAAGTTTTATTTGGGTTTATAGACAAAAAAAAAAAAACACTAAGTGCCAGTATCAGCATTAATACCTCTAAGGTTATGTTGGACCATAAAAAAATTGTTACTTTCACTCTCAGAGTGTTTTTTATGAATTCCTTAATGAAGCACTTTTGTTATTTTTCTTAATATATTCCGGCAACTTTCTTGTTTTTACATCGACATCAGTTTTTGCCATCGAAATATACATATTTTTTTAATCTTACAAAGGTACTAGGGTCTTTTCCTGGATTCCAATAGCAACATTGTTTTGGCATTTTGATTTTCAAAGTATTTCACTGAGCGCCCTATAAAGAATTAACCAAAACATATCGCCTAAAACCTTCAGTTATACCAAAACTCTGCAGCAAGACTCTTTACTGCAACAACCAGAGAAGCTAACATCAATCATTTTATTCTTTGCACTGATTTCCAACTTAACTGAACCTTCAATGACTTGCCAGTCAAGATACTTCCTCTATTAGTGAGTTGTTAAAACCACATACTCTGACTCAAGCCCTTACTGATATCCCCAAATTCCAGGTAAAAAAAATAATATAATTTGCAAGCTGGTCTACTTTGGATTAAGATTTATTTATTTATTTAATGTGTTTTAAAACCAGAAGATTTTATTACAGCATGTTTCTCTTGAGAACCTTTTGAAGAAATTATGTTGAAGGTATTTGTGTCTCTTGAATCCCATTTTGATTGTATTTTCATTTTGACGCTGTTTTTGTGAAAAGTATTTTATCAATAAATCATGCCTGTCTGAAGGAACGAAAACTATTTTGCTGAGGGGAATGAGAAAAGATTTCTGTAGATGTCTCTAGGTGTGCAAATCTACCGGTAATATTCCCAAAACCTTGTAAGAAATACTGTAAGGGTCTGCACCCCATATATTGAAAACTACCTATTGTCTTTCTTCCACTTCGCAATTGTACAGTACATTGTTTTGTCCGATTAAAAACTATTCAATGTAAAATGCATTGAATTCTATGTTTTTAACAGTAGAATTTGAGAAGGAATTGCATTTGGATTCTGACTGTGTTACAAAGATTCCTTTAGAAAACTTGAACCCAGGAGACCCACAGAAAAGTCCTGGTAAGCTAACCGTGATGGACTCTGCAGGAGAAATTTGACTGACATGGTTTGTATCCTGTGGTGTCCTTAAAGGGAAGGTCACTGCAGATCAATACCTGTGCTGTTCAAAGTGGTCGCCTTTTTTCTGTGATGGCACTGCTTTCTTATATGGTGCCAAACCAGCCATCAGCAGTGCAGATGATGGGCTATTTATTTAGCAGCACTGATTTTTAAGTTATATGCACATGGTTGACTCTTGCCAGAATTCACTTTAAAAAAAAATTATTGAGATTCTCCCAAAGACTGATCAAACCTACAGCACCTTTGTTTTTACCTTTATTCCTGATGTTATACTTTATATTTCTCTCCATTTCTGTAATGTAGAGTTTAGTCTACAAGCATCAACAGTTCCTCTGAGAAATTTGTTTTTAATTAAAAGTAGAACTGGTATCTCTCTCAAGATGCAAAGATACACAGTATATCAGCATAACAATTGGTAATATGTGCATTTATATTTTTATGTCAGTAACTTTTCAATATATCTCTATTGGACTCATATGTTAAACTGGGCTGATACTAATCAGAAATGTTTATTTCCATGTTTTTGCTCTTTGTGAGTTTTGGAAGAGGGTTCCCCATGGAGTATTTGTTAATTTGTTAGATTTATAGACAGACATTATTTGTTATTTTGTACACACAAGTGTAAAAGTGTAAAAAAAAATTGTTTTGTTTTTTTTTCAAAATTTTTAACATTTTTTAACATAAACACATATGTCATATAATTTCTCATTGGTACATCCTTTAAAGCACTGGTTCACAACCTTTTTTGACTTGTGTACCCCCTTGGCCATTTTTTTATACCATGAGTACCAAACCTGTTATTTTCCAAAATAGAAATTACAGCTGATTATAAAATGAAAAATATTTATTTGATTTCCTTAACTTGAACATTTAATTCTCCCGCATTTCATTATTATCAATTATAATATCAAATAACATAAATATGTTGCCTGGAAAGTGAATAACTACTGAAATAAATACAACATCAAATTAGGTTACAACGATTTTTTGTTTTTAACAAAAATCTGAGCTCTTCTGACTAAGTTCCCCATACACACAGCTAAACTTGACAAATCAGGAATAATAATCAGCAAAATAATATTTAGATTCACTATATCGTTTGCCTTCATGTGTTAATAAACACCTGACCTTCTCTCTGAATTCTTTCTTAAACCAGCTATATCTCTTTACCATCTGCCTAAATCCATCACTCTTATTCATGGATTTTGACAATTCTTCTGATAAAACACAAATTAATTCTTAAAACAGTTTGAACAAAAATTTTCTAATCCTCTATTGAGTTCTAATGAGCTTTACTTTTGTGTCCCCAGTTTAAGCATGCGGCATTAAAGAGTTGAAAAACTGACCATGGGTGACTGGAACCTGCTGGGCAGCATCCTAGAAGAGGTCCATATTCATTCCACCATCGTTGGCAAAATCTGGCTCACTATCCTCTTCATCTTCCGCATGCTGATTTTGGGAGCTGCAGCTGAGGACGTCTGGGATGATGAGCAGTCAGAATTTGTTTGCAACACAGACCAACCGGGCTGCAAGGTGGTCTGCTACGACCAGGCCTTCCCCATTTCCCTCATTCGCTACTGGGTGCTGCAGGTCATCTTTGTATCTGCACCCTCGCTGGTCTACATGGGCCACGCTCTGTACTGCATCAGAGCACTGGAGAAGGAGCGCCACCGCCGACGGATCCAGCTGAAGGGGGAGATGGAGGAGGCTGAGTTAGGACTGGAGGATCATAAACGCATAGAGAGGGAACTGAGGAGACTGGAAGAGCAGAGGAAGGTGAAGAAGGCCCCTCTCAGAGGTTCTCTGCTGAGAACTTACATCATCCATATCCTTACTCGCTCTCTGGTGGAGGTTTGCTTCATCCTGGGCCAGTGTATCCTGTATGGAATCCATCTGGAGCCCCTTTATAGGTGTGAGAGGCTGCCCTGCCCCAACAGTGTAGACTGCTACATCTCCAGGCCCACAGAAAAGACCATCTTCATGTTTTTTATGATCATCATTGCTGGAGTGTCACTGTTCTTGAACATTCTGGAGATTGTCCACTTAGGAGTCCGCAAAATCAAACAGACTCTGTATGGAGAGAGGTACACAGAGGACGACAGTTTGGTATATAGGTCCAAGAATAAGCCATCTTTACAACAACTGTGTGTCATGAGCACTGCTTCCCCTCACAATGGGCCACTGACACAGACCTTCAGGGTGATTCAGGAGGCTGACATGAAGCCTCTTTATTACAGCAGTGGAGTAAAAGTCATCCATGACTCACCAAGACACAACAGCTTGGTTCATTTTGGACAGACCAGCTACACCTGCCCTCAGGTAAGGATGACACCCAGGTCTGAAGAGATATGTGCAACTCCACAAACCAGTGAAGGTGCAGAGATCCACACAGTGACCCTGGACCACCATCCAGCCTGGAAATCTGCCATGTCTACAGTAGAGGAGGACACAACCAGCCAAGCAGAAATCCACGAGGAGCAGCATCCTCAGCCAAGCCATTTGGACCCTGTGCTTTCTGGGAGAACATTAAGGCCTGCACCCATCAGAGTCCTTAATGAAGAAGAAAGACGACAATCTTCAGTCAGCGACCTACTGATTCCAAACCCCAGAAGGACCAGCTTCATGAACAGGCCTCCGTCAGAAAGCCTGTCCTCCATGAGCGCCTCCACCAGCCAGTCCTTACACAGCTCAGAGGAGTCAGATGAACTGGGGTCTCTCCAGGGAGACATGCCTATGATGCCGCCAGCTGGAGGTCGACGGATGTCAATGGTGGGTAGAGACGCAAAAGGTTCTGCTGAAGCTAAATCTGTGAGGCACTTTGTGCTTAAGTATACATTCTGAGTGGAAGACATTTTTTACAAATAAAACAGTTCATTCAGTCACTGAATGTGATGTTGGTGAGTAAAAGTACTGAGAGTATCTTGTTACATAAATAAAAAGAAAAAAACACTTATACAGAGGAAGGGATAAGCTTGTCGTTAAAAGAGAGACAAAGGTTTGCAGTATGTATTCAGGTTCGCTATTCTTAGAGATGCTGATGGCTCAGAAACTTGCAATGATGAAAGTCTTCATTAGAAAACAAACACTAGCAATCTGAGAGCAGACTATTTCAACATGACTTCTAGAAGGCTGTCTTAAGAAGAAACTTTTGGTAACTCTGTAAAGGTAAGATGTCATAGAATGGTTTTCTGGTGTCAGCA